ATCCCAGTCCCCTATAATGAAAAGGACATCTTTTCTGGGTGTTAGTTCTAAAAGGTCTTGTAGATCTTCATAAAACCGTTCAACTTCAGCTTCTTCTATGTTACTGGTTGGGGCATAGACTTGGATTACTGTGATATTGAATGGTTTGCCTTGGAAATGAACAGAGATCATTCAGTTGGTTTTGAGATTGCATCCAAGTACTGCATTTTGGACTCTTTTCTTGACTATGATGGCTACTCCATTTCTTCTAAGGGATTCCTGCCCATAGTAGTAGATATAATTGTCATCTGAGTTAAATTCACCCCTTCCAGTCCATTTTAGTTCGCTGATTCCTAGAACTTTTATTTATTTATTTTTTTTCCTAGAACTTTTAATGAATACATAACATACCATTCATTTGCTATATATTTATATTTTTGGATTATTTCCTTAGACCAGAGGTTGGCAAACTATGCCAGTGTTATTCTCTATGAGTCCCTGGAAAACAAAGAATGCTATACTCTTGAGTGGCATCTCCTGTATCTAAATCCCTCATTTTTAAGTACTTAAGGTAGGCGCTGGAGAAGGGAAAGGTTACCCACTCCAGTATTCTGGCCTGGAGAATTACATGGACTGTATAGACCATGGGGTCGCAAAGAGTCAGACACCACTGAGCAACTTTAACTTTCAAGGTAGGTGCCCATCCAGGCGTCCTCAGGAGCTAACACAATCTAGGCAAAGACGCAGCCTCCATACCAGGGTGGGCAGCTCTGCATGGGCTCTGAATTGCAGGCTCCTCTGAGCCTGGCAGAGCGGTGCACCATGCTGGTACCTCACCAGCCACCATGGGCAGGAAGCAGGGCTTCCAGCATCTAGGTTCCGACTTCCTGTTGCCCAGTCTCAGGGTCAGAAGGGCTCACTTCTATTTTCTTTTTTCTTCCAGAATATTGCCCAGGATACCACGTTACATTTGGTCATAATGCCTCCCAAGGCTGCTCTTGATTGTCACAGTTGGTCTATTTCATTTTAAGGATGCCCATTTCACCCATGTCCTCATCTGTTCTAGATTGCTTCCCTTTTTCCTACCCCTTTTACCCCCTTGTATTTTTTTTCTCTACTTGTATTTTATACCTACTCTTTTTTTTTTTTTTTGTATTTTATACCTACTCTTTGAACACATGATTTGTTTCATACTCACTGCTTTTAAAGGCATTATCTTCAAGATTTTTAAAAATCTTAAGAATGGCAGGATGTTCTCCAAAATGTCAAATGTTATAGCTAAAAAAGGTGGACGATTCTATGATAACAGTAGATAGCTAGCATTTTTAGGATTTTGCTAAATTCAGCTTCATTTCATTCTTCCATCCTCGCTTCAGCAAATTATAGACAGTGTGGTATGACTTGGGGGAACTTGGAAAGGCAAGTTTTAGCTTTGAGGTTAACCAGACCAGGGTTTGAATCCCAGAGCCATTTGGATTGTGGCCAAGTTCATTTAACCTGATTTTCTAGTTCTTTTATCTGTAAAGCAGCTGTAGGGAATGCAAAACTTCACCTCTACTCTTATGTGGTCCCTGACTGGGCTCAACAATTAAGCTGACACAAAACAGATTAAAAAGAGAAAAGTATTTCACTTTATTAATGATTTTACATATGGGATTCTTCGCAGGAAAATGAAGACTCCAAAAGCAGTATATCATTTTTTATGGCTTAATTTTCTGTGCTGACCACTTATTCTAACATAGGTTGCTAATATGACCCCTGATTATGACCAAAATATAGGGATAAATAATAATTGCCCGGGATAACTTGAAAATTAAGAAACTGGACAAATGATTTACATATTCCCCATGGACACCTCAATCATGAAAATGCCATGATAGCAAGACTTTTGTCCTCTTCGCTCATCTGGCAGCTAGAATCATGTCAATTATATAGAAAGAAGTTCAGTAAATACTTTGATAAGTATTAAGTGAATGTATATAAGTGTGTGTGTGTGTGTGTTTGTGTGTGCAAGAGAGAGAGAGAATGGAGAATTAAAGATCAGAGGGGGAGGTAATGAGTTATTTAATAAATGCTGCTAGAAAAGATTGATAAAATTTATATAAAAATTGATAACTTCTATTCAAAGATTTCATGGAGAGAAAAGCCATAAATCTACAGAAAATGCATGTAACAGAAAATGACAAATTTTTGGTATCTATAACACAGAATTTCCATAAATCATAATCAATAAAGCTCTGTCCACCTTGAAAGGCCTTCTTCTCAGGGCTCCCAGGACACAATCCTTTTCTGAGATTCTTTCTGTGTCGATGATGCACATTCCAAGTTTTCTTTGATTCTTACTACTCCTCTCTCCCTCTCCCTAACTGAGGACCTACTGTGTATCTCCTGACTGAGGACCTACTGTGTATCTCAAAGCTACATCTCTATATCTCTGAGTTCCTATATATATTGTCCAGGCACAAAAATCTAATCATAATGATTTTGTTACCACCCACACAGTGGTTAGGTTAGGATTTGAATCTCCAGAGTTATATATCCAAATTTCCCATTCAGTACCTCTGATTGGATGTCTATCAGGTATTTTAAGTCAAACATGAAACTCCCTACCTCAACCCTGATGCCCTCCTGACCCCTGACCCCCTAAGTCCTTTCCATTTTACTAAAGCCAGATCCATTCGTCCAGTTGATGGGGTCAGAAATCTTGGCATCTGGGACTCCTCTCTTTTTCTTCTAGTCTAAACTCAATCTGTCAGAAAATCTACTTTGCTTTCTTCAAAATATACCCCAAATTCTTCAACTTCTGACCACCTTTACCTCTAAACTAGAAATATTTCCTGGTGTCTGGTTCTACCTCATCTTCCCATCCCATGGTCTATTTCCAATCCGAGCAGAGTAGTTCTTTTAAAATGTAAATTACACAATATCATGCCATGACTGAAACCTTGACAGTGGCTTTCAATATCTTACAGAGGAAAAGCCAGAGATTTTGCAAACTTCTAAAGGATTTGGCCCCTTGCTCCATTTCTTATGTGTTAACCCTTCCCCTCTCATTTACCTCCATCCCTTCTGCTTGGCTTGCTTTTCAGTAAATGAACCTAGCATGGTTGCAGTTTCAGCCTTTGCACTTGCTGTTTGCTGTGCCTAGAAATTTATATTTCCATATAAAAGCAAGAGTCTTTTTTCTTTTTTCCTTCTTTTTTGTTTTATTTGGTCATGCCCCATGGCTTGCAGGATCTCAGTTCCCTGCTGGGGGATTGAACCCGGGCCCGGCAGTGCAAGTGCTGAGTTCTAACCCCTAGACTGCCAGCGAATTCCCAAGACTTATTTTCCAAAAGTATTTTTTAAATTGAAATATAGTTGATTTACATTGTTGTGTTTCTGTTGTACAGCAAAGTTATACAGTTGTACATATGTGTGTGTGTGTGTATGTATAGCAGAATCATATAGCTATACAGCTGAATATGTTTATATATATATACTTTTTCATACTCCTCTACTATGGTTTATTATAGGTGACTGAATATAACCTATAATACTGAATATAATATAGTTCCCTGTACTCTACAGCAGGACCTTCTCATTTATTCATTTCTAGTAGTTTGCCTCTGCTAATTCCAAGCTCCCACCCACTTTACCATTTGGTAACTATAAGTTTGTTTTCAATCAGATAATTTTTCTCACCTTCCTCCCATTTTTCTCTAAATATATTTGTTGACAAAGCAGTGTCCAGAAGTAAGATTTAAATCTGTACCTGAGAAAACCATTAGAATTTGTGATTCAGAGCTTGAGGGTTAATGGAAGGTTCTGGGAAATGTTGTTCGAACTTGTGATCAGGTAAAATTTTAAAACACAGAGCATTTCTACCAGAGAGATGAAATTACAAATTCAGGCTTAGACATTTAGGAACTGGTACTTGTTGATGAAATCACATTTTTTATTTTTAATGCAGAAGCTTAATTGTTTTCAGTTGCACTGGGTCTTCGATGCTGCCAGCAGGCTTTCCCTGGGTTTGGAGAGCAGGGCTACTCTAGCTGTGGTGCCGGGCTTCTTATTACAGTGGCTTCTCTTGTTGCAGGGCACAGCTCCAGGCGCACAGACTTCAGTGGTTGCAGCACGCAGCTTCAGTAGTTGCGATGTACTGGCTCTAAGGTGGGCAGGCTTCAGTCCTTGTGGTGCCCGGGCTCAGTAGTTGCAATGGTCAGGCTCTAGAGTCCTGGCTCAGTAGTTGTGGCTCACTGGCTTAGTTGCTCCTTGGCGTGTGGAATCCTAGCAGACCAGCAATGGACCCTTTTCCCTTGCATTGGCAGGTGGGTTCTTATCCACTGCACCATCCAGAAAGTCCTCACATTCTTTCCCAACAATTCAGTTTCCTCACTTTGGACCTAGAGTGACAATCAAGTGAGGTAATACTAAAGATTTGTACATCAATATCTGTAAATAATATATACAAATTCCATAAACGACCAGTGCCATTAAAAGTGTCCATGTTGTTTTTATCTTTATCTTCCTTCCCATCATATGAGCTTTTTCCAAACAACAGAGAGGAAAGACGAGCACCGAATGTATTCAACATCTAAGAAACAAAGACAAAATTATTTAGTCAATAAAAATCCAATGGCTGCCATTCTGTGTCTGGAAATATGATTACATGATAAATGGTGGCATGACTACAGGTGTATTTGTGTGTCGAGGGGACTGAAAAATAGGACAGAAAGTTGATGGGATATTCAACAACTGTGGGAACACAATGTGTCTCCAGTGGTCAATGTATTTTTTCCATTTTATGTTCTACGTGTCAAACATCCTTACCTCTTCTGTTTTGTTTTATATGCCCTCCAGTGTATTTCTTTTTTGTATATCTTCCTCTTTTTACAAAACCATCGGTTTATCTGCCAAAAAAAAAAAAGAAAGAAAAAAAAAGGGTTGGGAGGAGATTCATCCAGAAATAAGGATAATGGTTTATATGGGTAAGAGTTGTACACCAGGGACTTTGTCAGTAAACAAATATGTGGTCATACCTGAGTCTCTGTCATGCTAAATTCAAATGCAAGTGATGAAATATCCAGAAATGTGGGATTTTTTTTAAATTTAAACATTGCCCAGAGAGTGTCCATGAGGGGTCTGCTGACAAGTTTTTTCTTCTGGTATTGATTCTTATTTTTCTTTTCTTTCTCGTCCTCCTCCTTGTCCTGTTCCTTTTCCAACTTCTCTTCTACGACTTCTTCCTTTTCGCCTCCTCCTTCTCTCTTTCTCTTCTGTGTCTTCTTTTCAACTTCAGAGTGATTTTGTTCACAGGACATCACTGGTTGTTTCTGTGCACCAGAATCTGTGGAATAAAATCAAGTTGCAGCTAAACTGGACATTCAGATCATAGTATTCTTCAGTGTGAGAATATATTTGATTTTCATAAGATAGCCGTGTCAGACATTGTTGGAAAGCAGAGGAAAGGAAAAGTCAAGTTGTCTAAACCAGTGAAGATTTTCATGAAAAGAATGGCCTGAAAAAATTTTTCTTTTGAATGTTGAGTAGTGATAAATAAATACTTCCTAAGGAAAGGCTATTTACTGAAGTTGAAACATCTGTATGTGATGTTAAGTACTCGAAAATAAGTGAACTTGAAATGAAATAAGCTATGACTGACCTTCCTTAAAGGACTATGCATGCTAAGTCACTTCAGTCGTGTCTGACTCTTTTTGACCCTATGGACCATAGCCCTCCAGGCTCCTCTGTCCATAGAATTCTCCAGGCAAGAATACTGGGGTAAAAAAAGAAAAAAAAAGAATACCAGAGTGGGTTGCCATGTCCTTCTTCAGGGGATCTTCCTGACCCAGGGATCAAACCCACTTCTCTTAGTTCTCCTGCATTAGCAGGCAAGTTAAGGACTATACAGGCTTCCTATTTCTATTTCAGAAAATTTTGCTAAGTTTTAGAAATTTGTCCTTATACTTCACTTTTCCGAGGATCTTCCTGGCATATGTTCATGTCCTGGCATAATTACTAATATCACCACTTTTACCTTAAAGTACTCTGGCTTAAACCATATATTGTGTGATTCCATCACTTACACTATTTAAGAAACCAAATCAGTAATTTAAAAGTAGCCAAGACACATCAGAAGAGTTTAATTAGGAACATAATGAACAGCAATAGTTATTGAAACAGAGAAGAATGACTGTACAAATGGACAAGTTCACCACTGAAAAAGAAAGGGGGGCTAAAATTAGGCCCTAGTAGATAATCAAATATTGATGTATGATAATGGAGAATTTCTGATCAGTGGGGGGAAGCAATGAGCTATTTAATCAGTGCTGCTAGATAAGACTTATCAAATTTATATAAAAATTGACAACTGCTATTCATCAAAGATTTCATGAATAAAGTGGAGAGAAAAGCCATAAATTGGCAGAAAATATATGTAACAGAAAACTGACAAATTTTTGGTATCTAGAGCAAAGAGCTCCCATAAATCTATAAGGGAAAAAAGATCCAAGAGATAAAACAAAAGCTGTGTGTGTGTGAGAGCTGGGAGTCAGAAGTAGATCTGAATGGCTAATATTTTGAAAAGAATAATCAAAAAGAAGATAAGAATGAGCTGCCTTTTTATAGTTACTTGATAGACAGAAATGAAGAAATCAAATAATACCAACTGTGAGACAGCGGTAGGTTGACAAGAACTTGCAGGTATTTTTGTTAGAAGTGTGAGTTGATTGAACTCCTTTGGAAAACAATTTTGCACTGTCTTATAAAATTATAGATTCTCTTATCCTTGATTTAACCCTAGAGACTTACTTGCATATGTTGAAGAGGAGACACAAATAAAATTCTGGTAGCGTTCATGATCTGAAACATCAGAAGGGGAAATAATTCAATGTGTGTCATCAGAATGACAGTATTTTGGCCACCTGATGGGAAGAGCCGACTCATTGGAAAAGACCCTGATGTTGGGAAAGATTGAGGGCAGGAGGAGAAGGGGGCAGGAGAGGATAAGATGGTTAGGTGGCATCACCAACTTGATGGACATGGGTTTGAACAAACTCTGAGAGATAGTGAAGGACAGGGAAGCCTGGTGTGTTGCAGTCCATGGGGGTCTCAAAGAGTCGGACACAACTTAATAACTGAACAGCATTATCAGAATGAAGTTAATGATTAAAGCTAATTTGAGAATTTGGTGAACTTTAGAATTATAATTCTGAGTAAAAAGAGCAAATCTCATATCCTCCAATTAAAAATAAACCAAAAAAGAACAATTCTCCAAAGTACATAGTGTTCAAAAACCAAATAATATTATTGAAGGGTACATATGTATGTGACAAAAAAAATATAAAACTAAGCAAATGATAAAGGAGTTTCAGAAGATGGTTGGAAGAACACAGTAGGATAGCAGAGGCTTACAGAAAAGCCGATGAAATACATTAATAAAGTTATACCTAGATCAGTAATGTTATATGACATCTGTAATATATGTTGTACTTAGGACGGTCGAGTTATTCTGTGACCTAGATGTATCCATGTGGCCTGAGAATTAAGAGGTCATTAGGAATGAGCTTCTGTGATTTGGTTATTGGTGCCACAACAATTAGACTTCCCAGGTGACACTAGTGGTAAAAACCCTATCTGCCAGTGCAGAAGACATAAGAGACTCCAGTTCAGTCCCTGGGGCAGGAAGATCCCCTGGAGGAGGAAATGGCAACCCACTCCAGTATTCTTGCCTGGACAATCTCACGGACAGAGGAACCTGGTGGGCTGCAGTCCATGGGGTCAGACATGACTGAAGTGACTTAGCACACAGGCACGCCACAACAATTAAGAATGAAGTGACAGATAAGAGGCAGTTCATTTGCTTATTTGATTTCCACTGAATTCGTACTTACTCCAGCTTTCTGATTTTGTGAAGTTGCCATTCATTTCCAGCCCTTGTTGACATAGGTCCATGATTGTCTTCCTTTGGGTCTTCTGTACTAGATGTTGTCCTTGACTTTCAGAGATCAAATACTCAGATTGACCTAAGAAAAATCCAGAGAAAGTTTGTTATAGAAACACATTCAAAAGCTCTTATGGGGGCTTCCCTGGTGGTAAAGAATCTGCCTGCCACTGCAGGGGACATAGGTTCAATCCCTGATCCAGGAAGATCCCACATGCCTTGGAACAACAAAGCCCATGAGCCACAGCTATTGAGTCTGGGCTCCAGAGCCCAGGAGCCGCAGCTACTGAGCCCACATGCCACAATTAATGAAGCCCATATGTCCTAGAGCCTGTGCTCCGAAACAAGAAAAGTCACCGCAGTGAGAAGCCCACTCGCTGCAATGAAGTGTAGCACTGCTTGCCACAACTAGAGAAAAAGCTGGTACAGCAACCAAGACCCCGCACAGCCAAAAATAAGTTAAAAAAAAAAATTTTTTTTTTTTAAAAAGCTCATATGGGACTTCCCTGCCAGTGGTTAAGAATCTGCCTGCCAATGGAAGGGACATGGGTTTGATTCCTGCTCTGAGAAGATTACATATGCCGTGGGGGCAGCTAAGCCTGTGCACATCAACTACTGTACCCATGCTCTAGAGTCCAAAAGTCTCTATTGCTACCATGTGTTTATTTTCTTGTACAAGAAAACTGCTTTTAAAGAGTCCTATTTGTGTTTGCATGTCGGTGATATATTTCCTGCTCATTGTCTCTTGAATTGACTCCAGTCAGTCTTTTACAAACAACTCCACAGACATCTCTCTTGTCAAAGTCACCACAGTGATCTTAGCATTGCAAAAATCCAGTGATTAATTGCCAGCCCTCTCTTACTTGGAGTATTTGGAGCTCTGTCCATCTTGAAAGGCTTTTCTCTCAGGGCTCTCAGGACCCAATCCTCTCCTGAGATTCCATTTATGTCAGTGATGCTCCTTTCAAGTTTCTTTACTTCTTCCTTTTCTTTCCTTGTCTTCCAGACCTCCTGCGACTCTCAAGTCTATGTCTCTAGAACTCTGAGTTCCTATATATACTGTCCAAGCCTGGAAATCTAATCATAGTGACATCGTTACCACCCAGGCAGTGATTAGGGTAGGATTTGAATCTCCAGGCTTGTATATCCAAAGTTCCTGCTCTATATCTCTGCTTGGATGTCTCATTAGTCATAAGTCAAACTTAAAACTCCCAACCTCAACCTCAAATTCCCACATTGACCCCAGACCCCCTCTCAGTCCTCCCTGTTTAAGTGAAGGCAGTTCCATTGATCCAGTTGATTGAGTCAAGAACCTCAGCTTCTGCAATTGCTGTCTTTTCTCTTGGGCCAAAAATCAATCTGTCAAAAATAAATAAATAAATTTCGGCTTGGTCCCTTGCTAGGTTTCTGACTTCTGTTAACCCTTTCCTGTATTGCCCTGGTGGTCTAGTGGTTAAGAATCTGCCTGCTAATGAAGACATGGGTTCACTCCCTGGTCCAGAGGATTTCCCTTGCCTCGGGGGAACTGCCCCCTGTGAGCCACAACTACTGAAGCCCAAGTGTTCTAGAGCCCGTGCTCCACAAGAGAAACCCCTGCAATGAAAAACCCACTCATTGCAACTGGAAAATAGCCCCTGATCGGCAAAACTAGAGAAAGCTAGCATGTAAGAAAGAAAGAACTGCAAGTTCTTGAAAAAAAAAAAAGCACTTTCCTGTACTCACTTTGCTCCATCCCTCAGATTGCCTTGCTTTTCAGTTAACAAGCCAGTGTGGCGCCCAACTGAAGCCTCTGCACTTGCTGTTCATTCTGCCTATAAAGTTTTTTTCTCCAGAGAAATGCAAGACTTGTTCTCTTACTCTCTTCTGATTTCTTTTCAAGTACTTTTATTGACAAGGCAGTGACCAGAAATGAGACCATAGTAGGCAGTGCATGGAGACGACAGTTAAGGATTTGGGATTAGAATGTGAGGGTTAATAGACTCTTCTGGGAAGTGTGAACTTGGGCTGTGATCAAGAAAAATTTAAATTAGAGAATTGATGAGAACTCTTCAAAACTGGAGGCCAGCCAGGAACCTGAAGATGTTCCATTTCAGGCTAAGGATTTTGTGAAAAGAAAGAAAGTGAAAGTGGCATGTGACTCTTTGTGACCCCATGGACTATACAGTCCATGGAATTCTCCAGACCAAAATACTGGAGTGGATAGCCTTTCCCTTCTCTAGGGGATCTTCCTGACCCTGGAATTGAATCGGGGTCTCCTACATTGCAGGAGGATTCTTTACCAACTGAGCTAAATATTTAAGGCTATTGGGCATCCCTGATAGTTTGTAAATGATGAGGTAAACTGTGGTGAAGACAGATTGGATGAAGGAGATTAAGGGACTAATAATTTGCTTGTTGCAGAGGTTACAGAGATGACAGTGCCTAGAACTAAGGTAGCTGTCTTTCCTGTCTTGGGTATTAGTGGACCACAAAAATGAGCCCCAGTGGTAAAGTGTGCAAAGTGTATAAGCAACAACAAAAAACCCCAAAAGAATACATTTCCATCAGGCATATGAAACATATTCAATTTAATCAAGATGCAGAGAAACAAAACCTTAAATAAGGAGATACACATATACAAAAAATTATTTCTATTATGATACAATATTTACAAGAATTTATAATCCATAAGTATGTCTACAAACAGATCCAAGTGTATAATCTAATTTTAATGTATTATAATGGAGAATTACATACCAGTGTGGCAAGTAATGAGTAATATAATAAATGCTGCTGGAAAAGATTCACCAATTTTATATAAAAATTGAAAACTGGTATTTATCAAAGATCCCAGGAATGAAGTGGAAAGAAAAGTCACGAATCTGCAAAAAATATATTGACAAATTTGTAGTATCTGAAACAAGATTCCCAGAAATCAATAAGGAAAACAATCCTTATCAAAAGATGTGTAGAAGATGTGTGTGTGAGGCCTAGGAGTCAGAAGAATACCTGAATGGCTAATATTTTGAGAAGCATTTCAACCTTAGTAAAAATCAAGATGAAGACAAGAATGAGCTACCATGTTATATCCACTTGATAGGCAGAAATGAAGAAGTCAAGCAGTGCTGCATGTTAGAGAGTTAGATTGACAAGAGCTCTCATGTGTTTTTGGTGGAAGTGTAAATTGATTCAACTGTTTGGTAAACAATTTCTTTTTTTCTTTTTAACAATTTCTTTTTCTAAACAATTGTTTCCTGTGCTTCACATTAATTAAAGGAGAGAGTTATTTTTCTTAAAAAAAAATTTTTTTTTTACTTGGTTGTAGCAGGTCTTTGGGCTTTCCAGGTGGCACTAGTGGTTAAGACTCCCCTCTCCACCCCCTGAAAAATGTAGGAGATGTAGGAGACACAGGTTTGACCCCTCGGTTGGGAAGATCCCCCGGAGGAGGAAATGCCCACCCACTCCAGTCTTCTTGCCTGGAGAATCCCATGAACAGAGGAGCCTGGCGGGCTACAGTCCATAGGGTCACACAGAGTTGGACATGACTGAAGTGACTTAGCACCCATGCATGCAGTGGGTCTTTAGTTGTGGCATGGGTGATCTGGTTCCCTGACCAGGGATCAAACCCAGGCCCCCTGCATTAGAAATGCAGGTGTTAATTATTGGGCCATCAAGAAAATCCTTTGACAAGTTTTCACAGTCTTGTAAAATTATACATTCTCTTATCCTTCATATATACATGGAGATCTTCTTCCATACATGTATCAGGAGACATGAGTAAGAATGTGGTAGCATTCATGGTCTGAAACATCAGAAGGGGAAATAATATAGTCAGAAGGAAGCTAATGAATTAAAGTTATTTGGGTCCTTGGTTGGGACTTCCCTGGTAGCTCAGCTGGTAAAGCTGAGCTGCAATGAAGAAGACCCCAGTTCAATCCCTGGATCAGGAAGATCCCCTGGAGAAGGGAACAGCTACCCACTCCAGTATTCTTGCCTGGAGAAGCCCCATGGACAGAGGAGCCTGGAATGGGGTCACAAAGAGTTGGACATGACGGAGCGACTCTCACTTTCAAGTACTCGGTTGATTTTAGAAGCATCATTTTGGGTAAAAAGAGCAAGTCTCAAAATACATAATCTTCAAAAATCAAATAATATTATTGAAGGGTGCATAAACATGTGATTTAAAAAGCTATAAAACTGAGGAAAGGATAAAGGAAATTCAGGAAGATGGTTGGAAAAACAGACTAAGATAAAGGAGACATACAGATGAGCTGATGAAATGTGTTGCTAATGTTATAGGACTTCTATTTTAGATTCACCTTTTTTTTTTTTACTGACATGTAATTCTCGATAAGCTGAACATTTTTTGTGGGCTCCAGAGCACAGGCTCAGTAGTTGTAGTACATGGGCATAGTGGCTCCGCAGCATGTGGTATCCTCCTGGGGATCGAACATGTTCCCTGCATTGGCAGATTCTTATCCTTATTCACTGTGCCGCCAGGGAAGTCCACCCATTTTACTTTGATTAGATTTAATAATTCATAAAAATTACTTGAAAACATAAATCTTTTGAGATGGCATGTTTTTAAAATTGTGTGCTAAGTCGCCCCAGTAGTGTCTGACTCTTTGTGACCCTATGGACTGTAGTTTGCCAGGCTCCTCTGTCCATGGGATTCTCCAGGCAAGAATACTGGAATGGGTTGTCATGCTCTCCTCCAGGGGATCTTCCTGAGCCAGGGATCAAACCCATGTCTCTTATGTCTCCTGCATTACCGCTAATGCCATCTTAAGTAATTTATTTTCCTGTCCACACCAAGTGACTTGCGGAATCTTAGTTCTCTGACCAGGGATTGGACCTGTGGCCTTGCCAGTGAGAGAAGGGAGTCCTAACCACTGGACTCCCAAGGAATTCCTGAGGCCACACCTCTTATACTTTGTTTGTGAGAGTCCAAACTACTTACAGGTGTAGAAACACATTCAAATTCTCTTATAAGTAAATGACTTAATTTACCATTTCCTAGAATGTCTCTAAGTTGAAAAAAAAGACATTAAAGTTATTGAATTTGTAACTTGAACTTCATTGTTCTGATTTTGTTCAAAATATAGAGAATAAAATAAGTATTACTTATGATAAACATGTTGCCAAGTAATAATGCTTATGACAAAAATCAACAGGTAAAAAATGTAAAGTACAAAGAATTTTTATTACTAAAATTTTGATGATCACTATCCCAGCACAGGACTGGTCGAAATGACTCTAATTTCCATGTATTTGAAAGCATTGTTTTCCTACATTATCTTTCCAGTTATCAAATAGAGTCATATAATTATTTTCTGATAATTCACAATAGAGACAGTAGATGCTTCCTTGAAAATCTTTGTTTACCTGCCCGGAGACTTGCATGTTTGGGTGCATTTGTGGGTACAATGGCACATGCTCAGTTTTACATGTAGAGTTTCTGATGCTGGTGATGGACTTACATTTAATCCTGCCTCTTGAATCTGGGGTGACAGTATTTCTTGCAAACTTGGAAAGTCGTTTGACTTTTTGTTATTTATTTTTTGGACCCAAGTGCTTTATTTACACAGTAAAAAGCCAACAACCAGAATGTACACTTTCCAACTGTAGAAAGACTTTGTTCTTGGAAAATTAAACCAATTACAATAATAGGAAGTAACCAATCAGGTCGTGTGAAAAAAGCTAAGTCAACTTTGCAAATAATTCATCTTAGTGCCTCAGTTTCTGAACTTCCACCATTTGGGGGCTCACAGTTGGGTGGAAGAAGTAAGGGGAACCTATTTCTAATATTGGGGGAATGAATATGGTAAACAGGACTTAAGGGCAGCTCTGGGTTTACCAGGAGTGGGGACTGTTCAGAAGAGCAGTTTTCCACTTAAGATTGCTAACAT